CGCAACTCTGCACAGCGAATCGCGGCGCCTTAGACGACTGGGCCACCCGTGCCCCCTGGTTGTACATTGTAAATGGATATAGCTCTATTATATAATGTCTGTAGATGCTCTATGCATAACTTATATATAATGCAAACCGAAGTTGATGCGTGTGACTATTTTGTTTGGTTTAATAAAGTGTTTGTAAATATCTCTCGTTCTCGTTAATTTCTTCAGTTCTCTCTTGTAGTTGCAAAATGAATGACGTCTCGCGATTTTTTTTATGAATGAAAAAAGTAGTCCCGGTGTGACAGAGGTCACGGTTATCCAATCAAAACGAATAAAACAAGGTCAACCTTGTACGACACACGTGTGACGTACGGATTTAATATCTTACCACCTGTATCTTCACCACGTGGGTAATACTTATGAATGAAATGCTGCTCTTTTTGAAACAATGTAGGTTTCATGATCAAAATTTAGCTTATATAGCAGGAAAACTAAAAAGTTGCCGTTTCAACATGCTTCTAAATGTTCACTGAGTGGAATCGTGCGGTTGTGTGGCTGCTTTATTTGTGAACGGTGAAGATTCATTCTTCTTTTTAATTTTAGTTCTGTCTTTCCGATAAACTTTTCATTGCATCCACTAAAAACAATCAAGTAAATAACATTTATTTTGTTTTACAGTAGATATAGTGTCCTTTGTAATTTGGACTGAACAGCCTTCAATTATATTGCTTCAAGTTAGACAACGTTTGTCACCGCACTTAGGCACCTGTGGAGTGATAACAGAATCAAATTTAGAACTTGTCAAAATCTTTCTAAGATTTTGGGTTGTCTTTGGCTGTTGAAAATTTTGTATTTGCTTAATATCTTCTCCATTTTAATACTTTGATTCAAAATAGGCAGGTATCGTTGAACCATGGATAATGTTTTTTCATGATTAAGGTTGAAGGTAGATACTAGAGTTAAATTATTCTCCATATTGTTTTCTTCCGACTTTTCTCTCAGTTTTAGTTGCTTAATACTTAGCGCCTTCTGTATGCTATCTTCAATTAGCTTTGCGAGATAATTTTGATGCAGTAGGAAACTCTTAAGTTCAGCAAGGCGAGTAGTTTTAACATCATTCCCGGAAACAATGGTACAAATACGTCTTGCGAGACAGTAAGGGATATTTCGTTTTGTATGATGATCCTAAATCCAAATATTGGTGCGTATAAGTATCTTTATAAAAGATATCAGTTAGTACAAATCTCCCAGATATTAAATTGATTCTTACATCGAGAAAGGTTAAACTGGAATTGCTTTTTTCCATATTGAAATTGAGTGACGCATTAAGTGAATTTAAAATTTCATGAACAGTGGGAAGTTGACTTTTACTGGTTTTTAATATGATAAAAAAGTCGTCTAAAAACCTTTTCCATGCATATTCAATTTGTTCTTCATAGATTCACCAAGAGTATCTCTCACCTTATCCTAAAACATATTCTCTAAAAATCCCAACACAAGGGTAGCATAAGTAGGGGCTACCTTAGTACCCTTGACTTCTCCTTTCTTTTGTGAATAATAAGATCCATCAAAATAAAACATGTTATTGGTAATAATCAACTTCAATGCATCAATGATAAACTCATCAGAAAATCTATCTGGCATTCATGGCAGTATTCTTTCAGCCAGTATCTGATAGCTTCCAGTCTGAGCTCAGTTTCAATATTACTGTACAAACTAACAACATCAAAACTAACTAACATAGATCCTTCCGGTACCTCAGTAGGTAATTTGCATAAAAAATCAATGTCATCCCTGAGAAAACTTTTTACATGTTTACATAAAGGCTTAAGAATAATATCTGTGATTTGCTAAGACGCTGAGTACAGCTCTCGTGTCCTCCTACAATTGGTCTAAATGGTAAATCTTCGGGATTTTCAATAGAAATGACTTCACAATTTGGATCATTAATTTCCTTTTGAATACATTTACTTTTATGTACTTTGGGTAGGCCATAACATGTAGCGGTTTTAGGTTCAAAATTGATAAGATAGTCCTTTTCTTTGTCTAGAACTTTGTCATCATACTTATCTAACAATTTCTTAACCTTATTCTGGACAGATTTTCTTCTCTTTTACTAGTATTGCTATAATATTGATCATCATTTAAAATGGATATTATCTTTCTTTGATAAAATGATTTATTCATAATAACAATAGCACCCCCTTTATCAGCTTCTTTAATAACAATGTCTTTATTATTTTTAAGATAAGTAAGGCCTGTCAATTCATATTCAGATAGGTTTTGTTTTGTTTGTTTTATATGAATAGGAGAACTTTCAAGTCTATCACAAAAGTCTTCCAAATATGTTTCTCTCCCGCGTGGAGGTATAAAACTGGATTTATTTTCACCAGACTTTCACCATATTTCCTATTGCCTGCGTCATCATCCCATTTGACGAACAAATACACACATATATATAATGAATACGTACATTATATATACATTATATACACACATATATTACAAGCACCAATACACCAGCAAACATGCCTATTATGTACTGCTGCTACCACAAATAACCAATTGTGATCCCTTTTAATGACTGAAAACTTAATCCTGTGTGTTTAATATACTTTATTTAATATGCATTGATCTTGTATGGTTATTTCGGTACCAGACTTTCCAGTGTACATTCTACCCTCGCTGCTTTACACAGGATTATTATGAGTAACGAGAACATGGAGTTTGCATGAGATGTTTCATAAACTAATTTCCAAAATAATGTTTGTGTTTGAGTAATACAAAAAATAACAGTAGAATAATTGTCATTTGGATGATTTCAGATGTATAAGGAACGGGACATCTAAGGTACACAATTTAATAAATCAGCGTGAAGTGTTACTATTTTGACTAATGAAAACAAAATATGAGCCAAGTTAGAGTATGTCAAACAAGAGGAAATGCCTCAGGATCCTGATTAGCAACAGGCACAAAATGAGTATTACTTGCAACCAACAGCTCGGTTATTGGACCAAAATCATAAATCAAAGTATCCATTTGGTTTCTAGTTCTTGATTCTAAGTTGTATTTTGCGATGATGTCAAAGTGATATTTTGATATAGTAAACGAAAAGTTACGCATCCTGATCCCATATGAAATTTGGTTTCAGCATCGAGTGAAGTGACACGTCTACAACCCGAGGATCACGAAGGTAAAGGCATTCATCTGGGCCTAGCTTACGTCCCTGCTGTTTAGTCTCTGTAGATGATTATTACAAAACTAGGCTGACCTTTCGAGCTTAGCAGCAGAAATGTCAGTGACATACAACCACATTACATGGTAACATTAATATAACTAGTCCATGACACATCAACATGGGCTAGCAACGGTTATACAATCTCTTTGTATATACAGTCTATCTTTTACAGCACCTGTATACTTATTATAGGTCGTGCAGTCATTTCTGTACCATTACATTTGCCACATCCTTCTGACAACACGAACTACGAAATAAGTGTCGAATAATTCTTGTTCCTTAGGCCTCCCTTTGCTATCCTTCAGCGGAGTCGAGTGAAGTTGGCATATGATTTGGTTCATAAATATGAGCAACAAAACCGTTTTCATAATCATAAGAAATATCTGTCAGTCATGCTCACAGAAACTGTTGCACACATGAAATCATAAAATAAACTGTCTGAATCCATTTTCCTACACTATCATAAGTTTGTACAATTTCATTTTATACTCTCTTGACTATTTGGGCTGTTACGCCAAATCGTCTCAAACGCATACTGTAACCGGGTCCTCGGTAATGATTGGTCACCAGTGGTATCTATTCCAAAACGGATTTCATTATACTAGACACCACTATCCATTACACAGCACAATTATATCTCAATGGTTTATTGACCTGTGTGATTTACTGTTTAAGTGATCCGTTCATATACTTGTCAACACTATTTTGCATTTTACAATCAATGAAATCTGTTCTCGCAGATAATCAAGGCTGACTATTCTTTGGCATTGACGTATCATATTTATAACAGCCCCCTTTGGGATTCCGGGCTACTGTTGCCCCCATGATGCTATAGTGCTTTGTGGTTTAGTTTGGTTTGTTGTTTAACGCCGCACTCAGCAATGTTCCAGCTATTGACGGCGGTCTGTAAATAATCGAGCCTGGACCAGACAATCCAGTGATTGACAACATGAGCATTGATCCACGCAATTAGGACTGATGACATGCATGAACCAAGTCACCGAGCCTGACCACCCGATCCTGTTAGTCGCCTTTTACGACAAGCATAGTCGCCTTTTACAGCAAGCATGGGTTCCTGAAGATCTATTCTACCCCGGATCTTCACGGGCCCCTCGGTGATGATTGATCACCAGTGGTATCTATTCCAAAACGACTACATAGATTGGGTCATCAATCCGGTGACTTGTTGATATTGTGTTATCTTTCACTGCCTGCGTCGGTCCTTGCTCATAATATCAATCCATACATTGTCTGGCCCAGAAGTGATAATTGGCAGGACTCTGGCATAGAGCTTGAATATTGTTGAGGGCAGCTCCACAACAAACAATACAAAAAACATTACAAAATGGGTTGCATAATATGCTACTGAAATTCTATTGTAATTGAAAACTAGCACTGAAGAGAACACACATTGATATATCTGTGTATCTTTACACATACTAAACAAAATAAGACGAAGATTAATACAGAATCTTCAATACATGTTTCTGATGACAAATAGAGATTATCACCCGAGTGTCTTTTGATATCAAATATATCAATCAAGAGGTGATAAATGAGGAAAAAACTGCTATGCTTATTTATCATCCAACATCATTCTTCCAACTTTTTTAGTTTCTCTACGGTAATAAGCAGTGCCTCCATGTTAACAATGACGTCACAATGGTCTACAAAGCATTCTAATGCAATTTACTGAGATCTCACTTGATCTCACCCAAGCGATATCTACTGTGGAAGCCAGTTTTGTATGATAAATATTGATGTTTTCTTTCAGTAACACAGAATCACACACAAAACCAAAGTCAGTCAAACACTGATCTCCTCGATGCCTGCAAGAATGGAGACATGTGCCGAGTCAAATACTTATTATCTGAGGGTCATGCAGACATCAACACAAGAGGACAGAACGGAATGACACCACTGATGCTTGCAGCACAGAATGCTCATAGACAAGTGTTTGACTTTCTCGTGGGGAAAGGAGCCAGTATGTCAATCTTGAGTACTGCTCGGATGGGCATCCTTCATGTGGCATGTAAAGGGGGAAATATTCCAATAGTGAAGTATGTCCTCGAACAGAACGTGACAGACATCAACAGAAGAAGACGGGACGGGTCGACGGCAGCCATGTTAGCAGTGTTTAGGGGACATGGAGACGTATTTAACTTGCTGGTGAGTAAAGGTGCTGATCTAACAGTACTTGATGATAAGGGATCTACTTTTGTGGATCTGGCCATTCGGGGAGGAAATACTGAGATACTAGAATATGTATTGAAACATAACAGGGTGGACATAAACAGGAAACACTGCGGGATGACACCTGTCATGCTTGCAGCACTTAACGGGAAACTAGACGTGTTTAATTTCTTAGTGCAAAAAGGCGCTGATCTGTCAATAATGCACCCTGATTATGAGACAATCCTTCACATGGCATTTGCAGGGGGAAATATTGAGATCGTGAAATATTCTCTCGAACAGAACATTGATGCAATGAACAACGAAGATCTGGATGGCTATACACCAGCAGTGATAGCAGCAAAGACGGGTCGCAGAGACATATTCGATTTACTTGTGAAGAAAGGAGCTAATCTGACTATGAAGGAAGAAAACAACAATATCCTTCTTATGGCATGTGAAGGAGGAAATGTGGATATAGTAAAGTATGTCCTCAAACAAAATATTGTAGACATCAACAACAAAAACGAAGAAGAATTGACACCAGCAATGGTGGGAGCACGTTGGGGACATAAAGAAGTGTTTGACTTACTTATCAGTGAAGGAGCAGATTTGACTCATGTGAATGAAGACGATGACAACATCCTTCATTTGGCGTGTTATGGCGGAAATGTGGATATAGTGAAGTATGTCCTCCAACAAAACATTGTAGACATCAACAGCGAAGACGTTGGCGCATTGACACCAGCAAGGATAGCACTTTCCGTGGGACATAGAGACATATTGTATTTGCTTTTGAGAGAAGGCGCTAATCTGACACAAGGGAAGTATGATTATAGCAACTTCCTTCACGTTGCCTGCACTAGCAAACAAACTGAAGTAGCGAAGTATTTGATCACAAAAACAACTGTGGATATCAACAGTGAAAATAGTGACGGCAAGACACCTGTGATGCTGGCAGCACTCAAGGGACTTGGAGAGGTGTTTCACTTGCTAGTAACTAAAGGTGCTGATCTAACAAGCGTAACTGCACGTCAGGAGAACATTCTTCATCTGGCCTGTGATGGATTAAACGTGGAGATAGTGAAGTATATTCTTACACAGAATATTGTAGATGACATCAATTCAAGAGCACAGAGTGGGAACACTCCACTAATGAATGCAGCAAGAATTCGAAATAAAGAAGCATTTGATTTACTTGTGAAGAAGGGGGCGAATCTGACATTAGTGGATAATTATGACAAAAACATTCTTCATTATGCCTCGAAGGGTGGAAAGTTGGAGATAGTCGAGTATATTCTCGCACAGAATATTGTTGACATTAACAGCAGAGAAAAGGGCGGACAGACGGCAGTAATGAAGGCGGCCTTGATGGGGAAGAGAGACGTGTTTGACTTCCTGGTGACGAAAGGAGCAAATCTGTCATCCGTTGATACAAATGGCAACACCATCCTATATTTTGCCTGTGAATCCAGAAATATAAATATTGTGAAATATATCCTTTCACATGTCACAATAGCCACTGCCGACAAGGAAAGGGTAATTCTGGCCAATAAGGATGAAAGTGGTAGCTGTGCAGTGAATGAACTTTTACTGCAATACTGAAGAAACATCATACCAAAAAATATGCAGATTGATGCACAGTTATACGAGTTCATCTTTATAAATGATGGTGATTATAATAAACACCCTGTGAGTCAATAAAAATGTCCATAAGCATAAGAAAGCTCGACTAAAACGCTAGTGATTCCGACTTTATCATTAGCATGTATTTGTTAATTGCTACAAAATAGTGATAATAACGCACCACCGTGTATTGTACAATTGTAAACAGGGCATTGCATAGGACATCATGTTTGTCAAATTTGGAAACGTCCTCTTCATGTCGCCCTATATTTACAGACCGCCGTCATATAGCTCGAATATTGTTGAATGCGGCGTAAAACAAGAAAACAAACAAACTAGCAAATGATAATACAACTCTATTTGTTCCTGCCATAGCAATTGCTGCGTAGAAATTTGTATTGATTTGTGTAAACTTTGTGAATATTGTAGTACATTTATTGATTGTATACCACTTCTACAGTTCTTTTGCGAACAGATTTCCGGGTTGATATATTGTTTCAACTTGAGAAACGGAAATTGGGGTCTCATCGGGGGGAAACATGGAGGATTAACCACTGTGTTCGGTTGTTACCGAACAATCTACACACTCGTGATTATTCTGCCACGATTAGAACGAGGCTTTGCCGAGTTCTAATTGTGGCAGATTAATCATGAATTATTCAGTGGACAATTTTGCTTTGGACATGATATTTCAAATCATTTCAATAGTTCTACAAATATTTGCATTTTAATAACCTTTGTAATGTTATATTGTTATTTTACTGCAACAGTTACCTCCAAACTTTATTCTTTTGTTAATTTATCAGATTAGAAGTTAAGACTTACTGATAATAGGTAATTTAAAATTAACATTTTCTCTTTTTATCTTCATGAAAACAAGACTCATAATAAATATGCATTTTAGTGACCTGTTCATATATGATTTTTTTGTAAAAAGGATTACAATTAAAATTAGACATTGCTAATGTAAAGAAATGAGGTTTATGGTAAAATGTTATAAAAGGACCTCATCTTGGTAAATTTCCTCATCACCCATAAATTTGAGTTTTTCTTTACTTACCATGTTCTGAAAATTTACACATTAGAACAATTTAAGGTCTCCGATTAAAATAACGACACAGCTTTCCACTCCCAGGCAGCCAATTAGATTATGTGAAAAAATAAACCACAGTAAACCATGTTATGGGACAATAATAGATAAAAACACATTTCTTGACATATTGTCATGTGTCCAGTTTATCATCCCAAGAAATGCGAAATAATTATCATTAAAATTAAGCTAGCTGTGCATATTATGACTCTTTATCTGCTATGATAATATAACCATTGCATTATTAAAGAAATGGGGTTTTTTTTTCAGTAAACATGGTAAAAAATAAATCTTTGGTTTAAAGAATATACTTGAGACAAACATAATTCTACATGTCTTAATACTCTGTGTTGTCTGTTAATTATGAAAGTAATTAACTGTGATATTGAGTTTCTACCTAAAACTAATAATATGAAATTAATTTTGAGATTAATTCATCCTATCTAAAATAAATGTACATCATTGTTGAACAAAACGAATATTGTTTTTGAAAAAAATACCTAATAAGGTTGATTGGTGCCCCCCACCTTTATCTCCATCATTTTGTGTGCTCCCTATAAGAAATCAAAATAGTTATGAAAAAATATAAATACATATATTACTTTCTTGAGTTTACATAGATTTAGGTATGACGTAATACATTCAAGTTTAAACGTGGTAATGTTGTTTTTTCATAATAAGTTTCTTAATTGTCCTGAGTCTTTATGTTTAAAAAACACCAAATAATTATAGGCCAAAATACATTAATTACATTGATCTGGATATAACTCCACCTGTTGAAAGGGGAAACAACTGCTGTGGTTGCAAAACATCTTGGTCGTGAGACGAATGGTCCGTCCGGCAAAGATTGATCGTTTCCTGCATTAAAATTGAGTATTGCTTTAGATCCAAAATATTTGAGTGTATATTTTCTTAAAATATGAAATGTGAGTCTTTATTATTTTAATATAACTATGAAATATGTTTTCGATCGATCGGCTCTGGATCAACACTTCGTTAGACGTGACGTTTCTTATGTGGTTGATAGTTATTGTTTTAAACAATACCAAAAACAACATGGTTTGTTTCACTTTTATCGGAATTTTTACATGAATTAATTAACTGTTTCATTAGCTTTGTTATTAGCCTTGAAAACGCCCCGTAAAGAATGTACCAGAGTGACTCACCTGGTCACGTAACATCGATGCGGTGTCACGCTTCAGTCTTCTCATTTTGCAACTGAATCTCATACATTGGGAAGCCGAACTTATCTGATATTGAAATTCTCTGAAATTCGGTAGACGCTCATTGCATTGTGAGTGGACACTGATTAGTCGTCAGGAATGTGGTGCTGTCTTGGGTGGTGTCTTTCTATGTTTCCGTTGCATTCTTAAACAATCTGTGACAAAATATTAATCAGGTAATGATCATTAATGCCAGCGTTTTTATTCAACCATTTTATTCTAAATTCTGAAGCAAGGCCAAACTGCTCTTTTTTGTCTCTTCTCCTTGTTGCTAAGATTTCCATCAAGCAGTAACAACTCAAATACTTCCACGCCTCCTTGAGTTTGTTCGCCAATATCAATACAGAAATACCCTTTTGCTCTAGACTCTAACTCCACTGTCTTCTGGAACACCGTGGACTTGATTGTGCCCAGAACAGTGTCTGCTTTCTTCGGGGAGTCCTTGCTCAAAAGGAGTGGAAGGTCTACATTCACCACTTCTGTTTCAGTTTACATACTGTCTCGCCCATCTGCGCTGGTATTGTCGCCTTCATGAATGAACGAACCTGGACTTCATCTCCAAATCTAAACTGTACATCACTTGGTACAGTATCGACTAAAACCATCGTTTCTAAATTGTTCACATGGTTCATCAAGTGGGCTCATCAATTCTAGTATTACATCTTTACAGTTAAGTATTGTCAAATCTTTCTCAAAAGCCTTTGCCCTTGCTTGTCCCGACAGAAAAGGTGTTTTAGCCAATGCCTGTTTCTCTTCTTGAACATCTGTTTCGAGCTTCCACACATTAGTTGTTTCATAGTTGTTTTGTTCCGTTAAACTGCGTGGTATCTTAAAAATCTTTGCCATGTTATTGTGTTGTTCTGCTCTGCTACCATGTAACTTCACCTTAACCAACCAAAGCACAGATGTGTTTGACCAAGGACACCCTCCTTCCTGCGCGGTAAGTCTCCCTGTCATGCGCAGTTCGTATCACTATGCCTTGTTCCTCTTCCGGGTTATAGAGTTGTCAACATGTATCTTTTGTCTAAGTAGTCTTATTACACACATATAGTTGATAGTTAACGTTTATATTGATACAAGCATGCCAAGTTAACAGGCTTCGTTCTGAGATTCATTGAGTAAATGAGTTAAAATCAAAGTCACATCGGCAATATGTCAATCATATCATTTCTTAAACCATGACTTACATGTTTGATTTAGAAATTGCCATCGCATCCAATTACTATCATGAGCGAGAAATGTTGTTGCGGAGATGTTGACGTCACTTCCTAAAAGAAGCTGTGGTTGTGAATAGGTGCAGGATATTTATCATAATAAATGGACATATCAGACATGTAATAGACCGAAAATAAAGAACAATTGGGAGATAAACATAAGGTGTTTTCAATGTAAAGGTAGGTCACCTGTAAATGTAACCGCGCTAAATTGAATTTGGAACCGAACGGGCAGCATGAGGTTTCAAATGTTAAATGTAGCGCGATCAATTATCTCCATTCTACCATGACTAAAAAAAAACGTGAACTCTTTGGAGCTAGCAAATATATTGAGTGACCTTGCATGGGTTGAATACAGTGTTTTGTGGGGGTTGTCGATCTTAATTACCGGACCACTGACAACAGCATGTGAAAAAAACATGAAGCTGTATATGCTCAAGCAGTTTGTTTATACCGTAATAGGTCACTCGATTATATGACAGGTGTTGAAAGCATGTATCACGGCAACTTGTAGGTTAACATGAGGTGGGCACGGCATAAGAAAACTAAGCAAGCCTTGCAAAGCTTTCGTTCTACACCGCACCTTATCATTATGACGTCATATTGCTCAATGTGACGCAAACGATATGACGTCACAGTCGTATGTAGAGATATTCCAAGCACTCTGTTGTCCCCAAAACTTAATATATATATACTCTCTGAAGAGTTCTATTGTGTTTTCTGCACGAAATGTATTGTCGAACATACTTTGAATATTGTAGTAACCGCAACTTTGCATTTTGTAACCTGTATTTGTAGATATTATTATTTAGATATGCCTACCGACAATGACTGAAAAAAGTACCATTATAATTGAATATTAACTTCCGCGGTGATGCAGCCGTCAAACCATCTGTTTCAATCAGAGGAGGTTTATTGTGATTTGATAGCCTCTGATTGACCATTCAGATTCCAATATTTTCCAAATTCATGGTAGAATTGCAGTTATCAGACACTTTCATCAGATATTTGGTTATAAACTTTGTCATTGTCCAGTTGTTGAGTTCAGACTGAGGGACAACTTTGTATCACGATCCGATAATAAATGAAAATGAAGTGCAACTTAATGCACCTTAGTGTACATGTTCAACAAACTATGTTATGTTATGTTATTGTGCATATTCATGTTTAGTTATGTCTCTCTTCGGGCAATATTAAAATAACGCACTTTTAATGTTCTGCTGAATGTATACTGGAAGAAAATGAGAGAAATACATATATGTTCGTGTAGATTGTTGGTGTTTTTATTTTCAAATTGTGATGAGAACAAAGACTGTCTTCCATTGCAACATCGTCCTTGTTGGCACTCGATAGCGGATGGGGAGCAGGAATGATGAATAATATTGTTGGGTAACAACACACCCACTGGTTCATCAAAAGGTAATAAAAGAACGCACCATTCTTTGTCATCTG